CGCCAAGGTAGCCAAGGCCCCGGGCGCCAAGAAGCCCAAAGCCATCCGCAAGCTGCACTTCGAGGACGAGGTGACCACGTCGCCTGTGCTGGGGCTCAAGATCAAGGAGGGCCCGGTGGAGGCGCCGCGGGGCCGGGCGGGGGGCGCGGCGCGGCCGCTGGGCGAGTTCATCTGCCAGCTCTGCAAGGAGGAGTACGCCGACCCGTTCGCGCTGGCGCAGCACAAGTGCTCGCGCATTGTGCGCGTGGAGTACCGCTGCCCCGAGTGCGCCAAGGTCTTCAGCTGCCCCGCCAACCTAGCCTCGCACCGCCGCTGGCACAAACCGCGGCCTGCGCCCGCCGCCGCCCGCGCGTCCGAGCCTGAAACCGCTGCCAGGGCTGAGGCGCGGGAGGCGACCGGCGGCGGCAGCGACCGCGACACGCCGAGCCCCGGCGGCGTGTCCGAGTCGGGCTCCGAGGACGGGCTCTACGAGTGCCACCACTGCGCCAAGAAGTTCCGCCGCCAGGCCTATCTGCGCAAGCACCTGCTGGCGCACCACCAGGCGCTGCAGGCCAAGGGCGCGCCGCCCGCGCCTCCGGCTGAGGACCTACTGGCCTTGTACCCTGGGCCCGATGAGAAGGCGCCCCAGGAGGCGGCCGGCGACGGCGAGGCGGCCGGCGTGCTGGGCCTGAGCGCGTCCGCCGAGTGCCACCTGTGCCCGGTGTGCGGGGAGACGTTCCCCAGCAAGGGCGCCCAGGAGCGCCACCTGCGCCTGCTGCACGCCGCCCAGGTGTTCCCCTGCAAGTACTGCCCAGCCACCTTCTACAGCTCGCCTGGTCTCACGCGGCACATCAACAAGTGCCACCCGTCCGAGAACAGACAGGTGATCCTCCTGCAGGTGCCCGTGCGTCCGGCCTGCTAGAGCGCGCCCTCCACCCCACCCCCCGCCCCGAACTGTGCCTTCTCTTGGAGACCCACGAGGAGAGCGCGCCCTGCGCGCCCTGAACCCGCGTCCGCGCCGGGGGCGCCGGCCCCCGGTGAAAGTGTTGTCTCCGCTTCTCTCGGTGTGGCGTGACGGTAACCCCGATCCTCTCGTTGTGACTCCTTTTGGACCCCCCCACCCCCTTTTGCGTTGTGTCCCCTTTCCCTCCTTGGCGCAACAGGAGCCAATCTCTTTCTGTACAAGAGAGAAAAGCTGTACGCGTTTGTCTCGTGGTTGGAAGCTTCCCCCTTGGAGCGGAGAGCTGTTTTTCTTGCTAGTATTCGCTGTGTTCATGGTCTAGAAATGCGGTTTGCTCTCGCCTACCAATCTCTGCTCTCTATGTATGTAGCGTACGGGTTGTTTTGGGTGAATCTTGAGGAATAAATGCCTTTATATTTCACAGGCTGTAAATTGAACTTCCCACACGATTAGCTTTATTATGGCTTGTGAACTGCTGGAGTCTGGCTTTACCTTTTTGTATGTGAACAAATCAAATTGCTTAAAAAAGAGTTTTCTTTAGTATAGCCACAAATGCCTTGAACTGTTGTCTGTTTGGGATTGTTTTTGGGGGGAGGGAAGGGAATTTTCAGAAAATGCTGTAGAAACTGCCTCAATACTTCACGTAAGACTCTTTGGTTTGATCTTTGATCATCTTTGTTGAGGTAGGACTATATGAGTTTTCTTTAAATGTATATGTTGATTTATGAGTAATTGTTATTTATTCTTTATTTATTTATATTAATTATGAAGATTATGATATTATTTGATTGCAGATCTTTTTTTTTGGTACGCTTCCTCCCCCATCCCTTGCCACTCTTGACATTTCACTGTGCATTTTAGAAGAGAGCCTTTTTCTAAAGGGATCTGTTAAAAGTTTTAACTTTTATACCTGAGTGAATTACAGACAACCTACCATTTTATTCTGCTTGGAGGGCCCTGGAGCCCTCGTACAACCGACAGCTCTTACTTTTAAATGCAATCTCTTTTCTACATACATTATTTTCTTAATTGTTAGCTATTTATAGAAAGCTTCAATAGAACTGTTTCAACTGTATAACTATTTACTATTCAAATAAAAATATTTTCAAAGTCAAAGTAAGATGGATTTATTTCTGCATCATGCGGCTTCCATAAGGATTTAAAATTATTTCTTAAATGTCTGGTTTTTATTAAAGAAAAAAAAAACCCCACCACCCTCACTAGGATCATGGGTTTTAGAGCTGAGCCTGAACCTCTGGGGTCTGCCCCTCTGACCCTTTAAGGGTGTTGCCTCAAAAACAGTCAACAGGAGCAGAAGGCAAGTCAGGGACCCTCAGAAATGCACTGGAAGGTGGGGTTAGAATGATAGCTGTGGAGACTTTTTCAGGGAAATCTACATAAGTGCCCACAAGAATCTATCCTTTTCACCAAGGGATGTAGAGACACTGCTTTAACTTAGCAGATCCTTCATGTCCCGACAATTTGGGACTCAGTGTAACAGTAATTCTTCACATAAATAAGGTGGGTAGTTTTGGGCCCTTAGGTATCAACTAGAAAAAAAGTAGAAATGATGTCATGGTCAGATTTCCAAAGTAAGGAAAACAAACCAGATCACATGTGGATATAACCGAAGTTAAACAACTGGGTTTGGGGTAAGGGCTCAAAAACAATTTTTCAATCAGGTGATCAATCTGCTTTTGGGGGAAAAAATGGAACACCATCTGTTTGGGGGTATTAAATTTAATAACAGGTCATTACAATGTTTTCCGTTATGTGTCACTCAGCTCTTTGAAGAACAATTCTGATGCTCACCAGTTAATATTTCAAGTTGTTTTCCTCTCTTTGAAATACACCATTACGGAGCTGAGCTCAACATCACAAGTGTGCATTTCCTTTTGTGGTGTGTTTTGCTACTTCTTTCCTGAGGCCCTCGGAAATCGAAGGTTTGTCCACCAAAGCAATTTTAGAAATCTGCCCGGGAAAGGGTAGCCTGTTTGAAGGGTGTAGACGGGATGAGGGTGGGAAGGGCAGTCCATGAGAAACTTGGAAGGAAGAATTGGGAGAGATCATTTCTCAGATTCCGAGCCTGAAGTGTGGTGCGGGAGAGGGTTTAATAAAAGGCTCAGCTGTCAGGAACACTGAATATTCCTCTCTGTGAGGGCCTGGCAACAGACTCAGAATGATAATGGAAAAGCCACTACAGGTGAGTTGGTTCGGGGACAGATTGCAGGTTGCCCTTTATTGCTGCTGACTATGTATTTGAGCAGTTGGGAGAAATACTGGAGGACAAAATCTCAGTGCCTGCACAATATGAAAGCACAGGGACAAAACAGTATTTATAACGTTCTGGGAACTTTGAATGAAACAAAATAAAACTCAGATTTGCAGGCTGTTGGCTGTCCTGTCTGAGCAACACTCACATGAGAGTTTTAAATGTCCTCTCTGAATCACACCGTACATTAAACGATCCCTCATACTGAGGGATGTTCAGTGTATGTTCTAAGCCAACAGAAAGTTTCCTGGAAGGCCCAATGGTTGGCTGCACACGACAAGTGAGGCCTGTCTGCAGTAATGGTAGCTTGTCATCTGTGTTTGGCCCACTGATTTTCTTGTCCATAATCATAAAGCATAAATTCTAAGATCCACCTTCATGAGGGCAAAGAAAATTTGGTTGTTCGCCAATGTGCTCTTTCATCCCCCTTGGGAATATATTTCTGTGGACCAAATATGTCTTTTCTAAAATAGAAAGTAGAATTTCATTTGTGTGAGATGTTCGGTGAAATTGTATAGAAAATTGAACCCATTAAAGTTGACTAAATGGTGTCCAAGAAATAGACAAGGTTTGTCTATTTCAAAGCTATGTACTAGGAGGGGTCAACAGAAAGGAAATCAGATTCTCGCTCAATCTCTCTCTTTTTCATCCGTCCCTGGATAATAAGTTCACAAGGGTCCCTGATATAGAATACCAAGTGGAAATGCGCTCACCTTCTTTATAAATATGCAAAGGATGCCCCGAGGACATCCTGTGTGTCTGAGGTTGCTCCAAGCTTGGACAACCTTCCCTGGAACCCACACACAGCCACACCCACCGCAGCAAGGGATTGGTGTTGGGGGGGTGGTTTAGGAAAAGGGACAAGACCAAAGAGGGAGGAGCTCAAAGAGGGGGCCAAATAAAGGAAAGGATTTTATTTTTGCCGGTGGTCTCCACATGTTTTCTATTCCCACACAAAAGTGGTGTCATAAAAGCAAAAGGCTGCCCCGGGCTCCCTGGTTCTGAAGTGAGCCTGCAGCTTCGCCCCTTTCTCCAGAGTTGATAACTTCCTCTGGATTCACGTTTCCCTGGAGGCCTGGAGAAGTCAGGGCTTCTCCAGGCCTCAGAGCAGGAACCCTGGATGAACCCACCCACCCGGGCCACCTACTCAAAGGCCTCCGCTGTGAAGGCCTGGTGCTCCTTCTGCGTAGCACTTCTGACCAGGCGCTCACCCTGCCTTCAGAGGGTCCCAGGGCCCGCCGCTGGGTTCAGTCGGGGAGTCCCCAGGTCGCACAGGGGCTCCAGGGTAACTTGGGAGCCCCAGAAGCCAGGCCAGAGGCTCCACAGCTGCCCACGATGACCCATCAGAGAGCAGAGCCGAAGCCTGGAGCCAGGCAGGACTGCCGCTGTGCGCTGGCACACGTGGGTATGTCGGGGTGCCCTGTAGGGACCAGGGAGCACAAGTCTGGGCGCGGCAATGCTAGTCTACAGGTGGGCGCTGCCAGATGCTGTTGACCATGAGGGCGCCCCGTCTCCCCTTGGCCTCCAGGGCTCTGCTGCAGGCTCCTGGGTGGAACAGCCGCCTCCCCCCAGCAGCTACTCCCCTGTCTCCATCCTCTGGACTTCATTCCACAGCCATCCACAGAGTCTTCGAACAAAACAAAGCAGAAGCGTCTCTCCACAGTCCAAGTGAACAGGTAACATCATAGCATTCTTCACCCACCAAATGTCTTGCGAACAGAGAAAGGGTCTAGAATGTGGCTCAGGCAAGCACCTTGACTCTGCTGGTCCCTCGGCTTTCTGCCGTCCTCTTTCTCCTCATCTATAAACCAGAGAGACTGGGGCTCTGCGAGGTCCACTGAGACATTTCAGGAGGGTTCCCGAGGCTGTGAGATGGAAGGCAGCAAAGACCCAAAAGGGAGAGGGCATCCTTGGTACAGGCAGGAGAAAACCTTTCTCACGAGCGTGTTCGCTGGTGTTTAGGATTAGCTATGAACCCGCTGGTGTGTGGCAGGCAGGCTTTGAGCAAGACTTGCTATCCTCTTGAGGAAGGGACATTGTGGTCTCGTGGAGAAAGTGTCTAACTGACCTCTAGTGTGTGGGGTCAGTTAGAACGACATATATACACACAGTAATGTGTCACCCAGTTACCTTCTCACAGTGCCAGGTTAAGCTAGAGAGACCTGTACAGTTTGGTGGTTGAAGGTACAAGCTGTGAAGTTTGGAAAAGGTCAAGGGGGAAACTGAGTTGTAGAGAGACCACCCCACACGGTGGCAAAGCACACCAGTGTGGGAGAGTGAACTGAAGAGCATGTGAGGGCCTCCATCCCCTCTGATTGCCAAAGTGGTACCAAAGCTCGGACCCTTAGGATTCTAACCCTAAATTATAGAAACATTTGATTAATGTTTTGGCAATATAACTTGAAGGTAATCGCCTGAAAGCCCCGCTCTGCTGAGAAAACCTCCAAATGTATCTTCAAGTTATATATATCTTATATATCGAAAGAAACATATTGTTTCTTTATTACCAATCTGCAGCATTAGGTGGCCGATACTCACAGGGAAAGTGTGGTACACTCATGACTCCTGGGCTGTGATACAGCGATCATCTCTAACAAGCACATACATCAGCATCACAAGAAAAGTGCAGAAGCGAGATCTGGTCATGGGGCCCACAATTATCCCCACCCAGTGGCCCTAGGGGAAAGAACAATTCCCAAACACCCAGAGTGGGAAGACCATTTTCTGAGGGCTTGTTCAA